TAAAAGTATCTTATTTTTACCTCTCATAAGTCATAACCGTGGAACTCTAGAGGGCACCAATGTCTAGAATCTAGATAGTGATGAGTTTAAATTGACGATATGGTGGTGAATTTAGTTGTAAATGACAAGAAAGAAAAGATGAGTTGCAAAGAGTGATAGAGAAAGATAGAGAGCTATGTCTATGAGGGCGTGAGGGAAAAGAATATACAAATACTTTTTTACAATTTCTTACAAACACTTGGGTAGTTGAAAGTACCTGTTTACCTAGATATTTTAAATGTATTTAAAGATTGTTTATGTAGTTATTTGTTTTCAAAATAGTGATGGTCACGAGACGGGCTTTGCCCTTAAAAAATTGGCCCATTTCAATCAAGGCTTCAAATCGGGCCAATATTTTATCTAAAATTGAATTTTTAGGTTGCCTATAACCCCAAAAAAAAAAAAAAAAAAAAAAAAAAGACGAACTTGAAATTTGGGCCCAAAGAGACAAAAATTCTGCCCAAATTTGGGCCATCACGCTCAGCTAGCTTTGATCAAGTCTATTTCAAAAGTACCAAAAACAAGACAAATGTTATTATACATACTCAAATCACCTCAAACCCACAATTCCCAATAATGACCCTAAATAACCCTTAGCCCAACGACCCAAACCCAAATCACTAGTTTATAACCCCAAATTTATTACAGATTGGAGTATAATTTGCAAGGGTTACAAATTTGGATACAAATTGGAGTATGATTAAGTCACCCAAAGGATAAGGTCATCCCAGGGACGGATCCACCTAAGTGTAAGAAATAAATAGGTCCCAACTTTAATATTTATTGTATGCATGTGGTTCGATCAGTGGTTGGAAGAGCTAATTTAATACTTCGTACCTAAAGATCACAAGTTCAAATCTTGAAAAAATCATTAATTTTTTTAATACATTTGATAGTAAAAAAATTCTTTATTTATATCAATTTTATATGAATTTTTAATACGCTGCACTCACTTTTTATTTTCTTTTATATATTGACCCACTTAAAAAGTTTTTAAAATTGTCACTGGCTCATCCTACCTCTATAATTTTGTAAAATGCAACAATTTGGACAAACATTTGTTTGCATAATTAACTTTGACAATTTATATCAGTAATTGTGTATTATTAACAATAACAAAAAGTAAATACTGTGAAAATATAAGTTGTGATTAATTCAACAATACATTACGAGTACATAATAAAATCTATTTTGTTGTATATATATAATAATAATAAAAAAAAAAAGGAATTACTTCATACAAAATCACATTCTGGCCTTGTTGCATTTAGTTATTATGAAGGAAAATAACTTAAGATAAGTGAATAAGATACACTTTATCAAATCATTGGATTGTTTATCTCAAGTGAGGGATAGCTCAAATGGTTAGAGTTTCTCTCCCGATTTCAGGTGATCTTGGGATCAATTCTCATCACTCTCCCTTGTGGCTCTCTAAACACACACACACACACACACACACACACACACACACACACACACACACACACACACACACACAAAATTATTCATATAAGTGTCCGTTGGTACATTTATACCTCATGTTGGTATAGTAGATGTACCAATAATCTTAGGTCTAAATATATCAACGGTTGCTTGTTATTGTTATTGTCATTGAAGACAAGAGTAGTTATTATTTCAGACAACCTCTAACTTGAAGTACATGTTTAATTATTATTATTTTTTTTAAAAAAAATACTAGGGTGGCTCGCGTGCGGTATAGCTTGTCATATTTCGGGAGCACTTTCGGTTGAGCCTTTTTCACAATTTTAGTTATTGGTAGCATTAATTGTCCGCACACTCCGCATACAACCTCTATATATATGCACACGATATATGGTTTATATCCTTACTATTTAAAATATGATAACAAATTTAAAAAAAAAATAGAAGTATAAATGTCCGCACACTTTTCTTAAGAGTTTACAAAAAAAGACATTTTAGGGGGTATAATTGTCCAAATCCTATTCATAAGAGTTATCTCAAACTTTTTTAAAAGTAAGGATTTAGTTATTGGTAGCATTAATGATGAAAAATATGATAACAAATTAATTTTTTTTTAGGAGTATAAATGTTTGCACACTATTCTTAAGAGTTTAAAAAAAAACAAGACATTTTGGGGGGTATAATTGTCCAAATACTATTCATAAGAGCTATCTCAAAATTTTAAAATAGTAAGGATATAAACCGTATATCGTGTGCATATAAATAGAATTGCTATAAATTTTAATTCAAACATCAAAGATTTCATTCTTCCTATGAATATATATATTTATATAATTATATACACTCCGGGTAATCGGGTGCATGGTGATCGAAGGGTTTTTTTTAAACGATATTCCTAAGTGCATCGTGCACTCAGTGTGTACTCCCTCCATTATTAAATATTTGCTCTATTTCTCCATGCACGGAGTTTTAGGAGAAATTAGAGAAAATAATAAAATATGGAGGTAGTGGGGTAGGCGAAAGAATAAAAAAAAAGTAAAAATCAAAAGTAGTGGAGAGAATTGGAGGAGAGAGAATATGAAATTAATAAAATATGATTATGTTGGGTTCACTAGTTGAGAGGAATGAATTAAATATTGTAAAAACTTTTCAAATAAGGAGATGAAGCAAGTATTAAAAAACGGCCGAAAATGAAAAGTGGAGCAACTGAGCAATTATTTAAAAATGGAGGGAGTATATAAGAATTTCTCTCCATTATATTCCTCACTCCAATTCAAAGTAGTATGAAACATTCTTTCAAAAAAAAAAAAAAAAAAAAAGGAAAAATTGAAAAGAATAATCTCACCTTTGCTCCATCTGCTCAAAACAGGCCAACCTTTGCGTATTTTGGGAACAATCCCACCTTTCACCCCTATTTCTCAAAATAAGCCCTTGACCTGTTTTTTAAATTGTTAACCGGTTTTAGCAAGTGACATGCCACATGTCACTAACTAATTGGCCCAATATTTTTTAATAATTAAAAATAAAAACACAAATTAAAAAATAAAAAATATCTCCCAACACCAGCCCAGCCCCTGAACGACACCCATTCCTCAACCCCTGAGCCGCCCTTGCCTGAACGGCAACCACCATCCTCGCCCCAGCCCCACCCTGCGGGTCTAAAACAAGCCCGCCACCTAAACGACCACCCTCATCTTCCCCTTCCCTTGATAATTATTGTTGTTCATGGTTTTTTTTTTTGGCAGGTTGTTCATGGTTAATTTATTCCCCAACATTTGATTTATTTTTGTTGATTGTGAAATCTATTAACTAATACTAAAATAAAACATTGCTGACATTATCGACTCTTAAACTATCCTGCGTGTAACTCTCCCATTAAAATTTTTCCCTCCAATTCTATGTGTGGTGTCATCAATTATTAATGGTATTTTTTTTTTTTATTTATTTTTAATCTACACTTTTGACTTTAATGCATAAGTGTCTATGTAAAATTCAATTAACCAAGTTTCTCTACTAAATTATACTTTCACATACCTAATTTGTTTGATTTTTTTTTTATCATAGTTTCAATTTTTTTTTTTTTTTTTTACTTAACTTAAATGTAAATTATTTTTATATCTAACTAGGTTAAAATCCCATGCAATGCACGGTTGTTAAATATTTTTGACAATAACATTACAAAATATAAAGTATATAAAAGATATTCAAAAATTTTATTTGGATATATATGGAATATGATTGTCAAACTGGAAAGAAATTATCATAAGGTAAATATAGTTTACTTAAAGATTTTTTTTTTTTTTTAGAAAAAAAAAAAAGAGAGAGAGAGAGAAGCATAATGACATATGTCAGGGAAGGATTTGTTTTTAGTATAGGTTAATAGATTCTAATCTTCATATATACAACGTAATGCAACAAATTATAAATTACAACTTACAAGAAAGATAATTCTAACAGTAAATTATACTTTTAGATACCTAATTAGTTTGATTTTTGATCATCGTTTCAATTTTTTTTTTTTTTTACTTTACTTAAATGTAAATTATTTTTATATCTAATTCTAATCTTCATATACAACGTAATGCAACAAATTATAAATTACAACTTACAAGAAAGATAATTCTTACTGTGCATTGCACGGGGATAACCAAGTGGGGTAGATGTGAATTTTTGCGGGTATTTGAAAAAATTGAGGTTTTTATTGATTATTTTAAATTTGTAATTAAATTTTTTTTGGGTGTGTGTGTTAGAATATATGGGTAAAAGGTATAATTTGCTTTCTTGAATGTTCCATTAAGAGCTAGGGGTGGTACGTCGAATTTGTGGCGTCAGATCGGGTTTCAAGGGTTGTGGTTGGTGTTTTGAGGTGGAAGTCAATTGGTGCTGGTGGGTTTTAGGGGGTAGGGTTCGTGGGTAATGAGAGAGGCGGTGGCGGGTTGCTAGTGGAAGGATTGCAGTGGTGTGAGATGCGTCGTTGGTGGTGGTTGGTGGGTTTGTGGTGAGTGGTGACAAGGATGGATGTTGTGGAGGGAAGGGGGAGGAGAGAGAAGGTGGTTTTTTGTTCTTAACTTTAATTATTTTATTACTTTATTTTTATTTTATGGAGGAGAGAGATTAAAAAAATAAAAAAATAAAAAAAAAAAATTTACCTGTATAACAGGTTGTAGGTAAAAAGGCTTGTTTTGAGAAATTAGGGGTAAAAGGTGGGCTTGTTTCCGGAATACGTAAAAGTTAACCTGTTTTGAGCAGATGGAGCGCTGGAATTATTCTTTTCAATTAAAAAAAAAAAAAAAAAAAAAAGGAGTATGAAACAACTTTGCAACTAGGTTTGAAATTCCCGCCCTTTACACAATCACTCCCCAAATTCTCCTTCAAATCTCTCTCTCCCCCTCATCAAACTCAATCAAAGTTGCGCTTACTTCAGAATCCCAAGCAGAAGGTGAGATTTTCTCAAACCCTAGCTTCAAATTATACATAATTCAATTTCTAATGTATTGAGTTACAACTCTATTTGTAAATTTTAAGTGCAAACAATAATTCTATTGCATAGATATTATGTAATTACAAACACAATTATATATAATTAATTGGCTCCTTTTGGTACATGCTTGCGCATTTGGGAGCATCAATACATTGCATTTTTGGTATTTGATACATAGCTATATGATACAAAAATAAAACCATTGACGAAGTAACAAATTTGCGAATTCAACTAGAATGAGAAATTCTAAATGGGTAGCACCAATGTGTAATAGCCACAGTTGGTTTTATTCATCCACGATAACGATCTTTGGTTGAATTTTTGTATTCTTCATCCTGCACATTCATTAAAGAAACATAATTAAAAACTAATTTAGTTATTGTTGTTATTAGTTTTGATGTAATATTGTACAAAAATGTGTTATTGTTATTTAATGCTTGGTTAGAGAAATAATAGGGGTTGAACTGTTTGTATTCAAGGTTTATTATGTAGTATGTGCTTCAAGCAATACATGGTAGATAGTGTAATTGACTAATAAGGCTTACTAGTTTACGCCTCCTTATAGTTCACGATTTTTATTTAGATTAAAATTGGTGTGTGTGTGTGTGTGTGTGTGTGCATGGACAATGGTTTATAGTGCAAGTGTAGAGCAATAGCATAGATTCCTATACCAAAAGTTTATAGTGCAAGTGTAGAGCCATAGAAGATATTTGTGCGGTACAATGAGAAACTTCTAGAATTGGATTATAGTGCATACCTTTGGTTACATCTTCCAATTATAAGGGAAGGGCACTCGGCCTGACTCAATGTGTTGGATGTCCTCAAGGAGTTCTTGATAACGCTTCTTTACATCATCAACAGATTTTCCACCAACCTCTTTGGCAATATTGTTCCAACGATCAGGTGTATCCTTGTCGTACTTGTTAAGAGCACTTTCAAAAGCCTTGTTTTGTTGTAGGGTCCAGCCATTAGAAGACATTGAGTTAAGCTTTAGCTGGTTGATTGAAGAAATTAACAAAAAGTGAACGAAAGAGGAGGGTAGTTTGTAGTGCGCCCAAGGTAGTTACTTCTTAGTAAATTAAGGAATAGAACAAGGAGAAAAGACAATAATGAGTACCAGTTTGGAAGTAATAGGTGTTTGGAAGGGAAAAGGGAGGTTTTTTAAAGAAAAGCTATAGTCGAGAGAGGATTTGTTATGAGCTGAGAGTTTGCAATGCCTGCTATTTATAGGGTGGACTGGTGGCTGATGGCTGATGCCAACCAGGCAAAGTTTTTGCATGAGGCGAATCTAAAGATTGTGGAATTTTAGTGATTTTGGATCCTAAGAACCACAAAAAATATGCAGGATGAAAAAAGTAAAGCAGAATAGAAAGCTGAAGAAAAATATCTCTAATAATTAATTCATTTTTGTACCTGCATGTTGCTTCGCAGTTTCACAGGTGACAATTTGTTCGATTAATGCCTTAAGATTCCATTTAAGCATAATTACCTCACATAATCGTAATAAGATTCTAAAGCAATACCTTATCAAGCACACAGGCATGCTTTACATGTTGTCTTATTTTAGATAATTTGGCTGCATTTATTTTCTTTTTTTATTCGATGAAATCCATGAAAGTCTATGATCTTTGACTTAGAGTTTAAAATTAGCTAGTAGCTATACAATAATTTTATTTTTATTTTTTTAAAAAAGTGGAGTAAATCACTTTTGGTTTATGTAGCCGACCCCACTTATGGGATTAAGGCTTTGATTGATAAAAAAAATTGGAGAAAAGTTGTGGTCCTCATCATATGTTGTCACTAAAGTAACTAAAAGAGTTTGCATGTATTTGTATGAAGTTTCAAATAACTTAAACCTTATCAATGGCTGAAAAACTATACAGGATACATAAAAAAGGGATAAACATAGGTCCCAAGCTCTTTTTTGAAAGCCTTGCGTAGATCAACCAGTTTGCTTTGCTATTCTTGACTCCGCAGTATGTGAGTTTCTGCAGACACAAACTCATTCCATAGGCCATACTAATTTCATGACTGAATTATAAGCCAATTACGCATATAGGTGATGAATTCTTCGTATAAAATCTTCTAATGCTGCATCTTGCCAATGAAATTTCGCTGGACTTTGTTTTCAACTCCTTCCTAAGTTCTCCAGCTGGCCAGCTTAATCTGTACCATGATCTGATGAGATTTCTTAAAGTCCAAGTTTACAATACTAACTACTTCTTCAGTAGGGGATTGGGTCCTTTTCTTAATCATTTGTGAGCAAGAAGAGCACTAGATGGCTCTGTAGCAATTTTGTATGTGTATTTTATTGAATTTGGTTTCAGTCGGATTGAAATAGCTCAGTTTGTGTAGTTAACTTGCCTATGATCGGTTCTTAGCTTTCGCTGTCCTAAGGTCAGGGTCACATTATGGGCTAGATATGGTTGATGGCTGCTATAATCAAGCTCTTTTTATTTAAGTAAAAGTACTATCTGTTCTGTTGTATTTCTCAAAGTTCTGCGATTAACCAATCTTGAAAATCTAAGCTTATTCATGTTAACTCATAGCAGGATTTGGATGGGAACAATGTTGAGTGGCTCTTGGAGTTCTTTGCTCAGTTACTGGTATTATCAGTGACACTTTTCTCTTGTATTTTCTTGATTTTTGAAACCTTCTCTTGTCATGCAAACAAGTTTTTCTTATACTAAGTATGCATATTTTAGGTGTCATGATTCATGAATACAACATCTCTTGCATGTATCAGCTCTCATGATACTCATGCAATGGACAATATGTCATATTAGCTCATAACTTTAGATGCTCTTGATTCGATCTCATCCCTTCTTATTGATACACTTTAGCAAATAGAATATATGTAATACTGCATGCTACAAGTGTATCTTTTAATGTGATGATCAATTTGCTTATTTATATCAAAACAGTGTTGGAACTAGTTGTTCTGGCCAGTTAATTGATTATGAGATTTGTGTGTTATATTTCTGTCAGCAATTTTCAGATGTATTTTTGACATAAAGAAAAATTAATAGATAATGAAAAGGACTTCTAGTTCAGCATAATGGTTAGTATAATTTTGGACCTATACGCGTATAACACCTCTTAGGTTATGACTATCAAACTCTACCCTGGCCCATGCAATTGATACTGTGCTATCTGCATTAATTGGTTGGTCACTGAACAGAATTTCCTTCATGATAATTTTGACATTGTTTTGGTCCTCTTGTTGATATTGGATGCATGGTTCTTTGTCAGTGGTAGACATTCTGTGATACTTCATATTCGCAACCATTTTTATTTTTTTTACTTGATCAACAACCCTGTTTCTCTCCCCCGAAAAGTGTTGCAAACTTTCCTCATAAGTGCATTTTGTGCGTGTTAATCTCACTAGTTAATAATAGTCTTAATACTCCATATTCACAATGTCGTTGTTTACTTGACAACATTATTGATGTTCCTTTTAGCATGATATCTTAATTTTGATTACTACAGTACTTCACAAGTTCGTATAATTCTATTATTGTTGTTAGAAACGTATAGCTAATACGTACTTCTTGTCTCATATGTTTTGTTCCACTCTAAGAGCATATGCCACTGCAGGCCTATTGGCAGATCCATATTAGTGTTTAATAATTACGTATAGTATAAGGAACAAAGGTAATGGAAATCAATGAGTAATTATTCTTTGGTAAAAATATGGTGCTGAGTGATATTTTGGTTTTAGTGTTTGCTCCTCTGATCTTGTTTTATGTCAACACGGAAAGAGGATCTTTCGGAAGAACCTAAATATCCCCACAAAAAGTTATGGTAAAAATAAGATCATATTATCTGAAGATTGGCTATCAATATGACAAGAGTCTGATTCGCTCTGCAAGTTGCTTAAATGAGCCCCAACGTATTAGGCTTTTTTTTGGAATAATCTTACAAGTGGACATGATATGTATACTGGAAATTACAAGTTGGAAGGTTGTGAGTTGTGACTGCGATTGGATTATTCCTTTGGGCTTGTACCTGTGGCATCTTCCTTTCAGTAAAATAATACGACAAACAAGATCTTATTGTCCTCCCTAAATCTCTTGAGGGTAATAACTGATTTGCCGAAACTAATATTGGATGAAACTGAAACATTCTGTTGAATGAGTTTTTTGTGCTGTATTGCATTTGGTTTTTAGTAAAATTTGTTATACTTAGGTTTTACTGAAATTTATTTTTGGAGCAGTATGACGATACCTACCCATTGACTCAATGTATACTTCCCAGGAATCTCTCTAGAAAATGAGCAAGAGCTGCATCAAGATACTCCTTTACCACAGAAGGTTGGAATGGATCTTTGTCAACTAGTCGTCTTCATATGTAAAGTAGCTGGTAGATTCTTCTCCATCTGCTTTTCCATTCTCCTGGCGGTGGTCCATAGTTTAGACTAGAGATAATATACCTTACAACTGTGCTTTGGAGCACTAAATTTTTTATACAGCCTCATTATACTTTTTAGGCAATGGAAGCAGGAACCTCAACTTTTTAGCAGCAGGCTAGCAGAATGGAATTTTTGGGTGGGCATGAGAAAAATCTTGGATTCTATGTTATTAATGAGAACTGCATCAAGTAAATGGTAAATACTATGATAATGTCACAATTGACACCTTAGATGTAAGAATTGATAATTTTGGAGGGTGACTGTAGATACTTGATAGATACACATAAAACTATACTATTGCATCAGAATATACAATTCTTAACATCTTCTGACAAGTTTAGAGGGTGACTGTTAATGGTGTAGTATGTATCAATCATTGAAACGACATTTGGCATGCTGTACATAATTATTAGTCACATTATTCATATTGTTTGCATTACAATTTGGGGTGATGAATTTTTTGTTTATATGGTGAACTCCATCCAGTGGAGATAAGGGCTTGGACTTGATCCTGCATCTTGTGGGTGGAATACAGGTAGTAGCATCACTGCTACATCCCCTAAGTCCTCACTTCGAAGAATAAACTGCTAGTATTCTGAATGTGTTGTTAGACCTCTCGTTTTCTTTCATTTTGTAATTATTTTTCCTTTTGTTTCTATGCATCCATCTATTATCACAGAGATGTCAGACTCTCAGGAATAATTAAGCTCATTATATTGTGGCAGGTCTAGACATAAATTTTAAAGGCGCGAGGAAAAGGTATTCCATTTCTTATAAAGGGGTGAGCCTAGTGAGTAGTAGTGATGTCAGCTACTTTATCAGTAACTGTAACCTCTGAACTTTCCAAGTGCCTGATACATTGTTTTGAGCTTATTGTTTCTGAAACTAAGGTGAGTATTTCAGGTATGAGGAACATTATACTTCCATCAGTACTTGTGATTCTAGCTACGATGGTACGACCAAACCGCTGCAAGACCTTTTTGTACTTTTTATTTGTGTATGAATGTTGCATTATCACCTTTTCCTTACAGTCACACTCATAAAGGTCCTATAATGGCATATTATTAAGCTTCTGCTCTATTCAGTTCTCGATAGCTTGAGACAAAGGCTTCTACCTTTTATCTTTGATTTTACATTTCCTTCTCCCCTTTTTATCCCAATTGCTAGACAATATTCTCCTAGTGGAACATGATTTATGATTGTTTTTTGGACCATTCTAGATGGCTTTAACCTTAAGCTTGTCTGCTATTAGTATGTTCACAATTATCTTAAATTTCTTAATCTTTCTTTGGATTAAATTTAGGCGTTTAGGTACATTTTCGTGAGGATCTATTACTGGTGCATTCTTTCTTTGCATCATTTGTCCTTCGTGATTCTCTATCGATAATTTTGTTTGTTCTGATAGCAGGGAAGGGCTTACAGCTGTTACAGGTTGCTGTTATTGACTTCATGAATAGAAGATCAGATAGGCATACGGTTATAGATACGGTCATACGGATACAATACATTGGTGAAAAGATTATAGAATACCTTGATATTGCATCAAGTTGATGAAGCAATTATACTGATACGGCTTTGTACCAACGCCTTTTCAATTTTTCATGTTCCAACTATTAGATTCCTTCCTAGTGATCCAACACTGAAGAATTACATACCTTATTCTAAAGAGTGACTGATATTATCCTCATATTTTAATCATTTTGGGAGAGTAGATGGAGTAGTGGAGTGAGGAGAAAAGAATGAGCATCTTCTATATGTGCCTCAAGTTGCTTAGATACTTGGATGTTCTTTGTATAGGCCAATC